AGAACCTATTGCAATAAAACGGCAATTTCATACTTTAACCCCTAATATTAACACCAAAGTAAAGTAATTCTAGTTTAGCTCACTTGTCATCTGGCATTATTTTTTACTTACCTAAAGTCATCACCATCGGGCAATTGCACGACAGTCATTACTAAATCGGGCAATGTCAATATGGCATCCAAATATGGCAAAAGTTCAGATCCTTCATAAATTATCGTGAATTCTGTCCAACCTTTCATTTGTATTACGTCTGCGAAAAGCTGAAAGACGTAGAAACATTTTCAGATGAACATACTATTACTACATACTCTTATTAACTCTCGATTATTACCTGTGAATATGCTACGTGATGAGGGTATACATTTATTGCTGACCAATTGCGATTCTGAATAACCATAGGTTCCGTGATTATTTGAGGAATTTCGATAAAATCAGCGATCGACTGAACGTGCTGCAAAGACATTTTGTAAGTTGGACCTAGTACTCCGAAGATATTACTCTGAAATGTTTATAAACGTAATTAAATACTAAAAACTTCATTTAGTTCGTGGATGGACTAGTAGTTAGCCCTTAATCGAACAGAGGTAAATTATTTATCATCTTATTTGTTTAGTATTTTTCTTATGTTGCTAAGTGACCGGATGAACAAGTCGTGTGTCTGGTGGTAAGCGACATGTAGATAGTACCTGTGGACATGTAGTAGACCTGTCCATAGTAGCTGCTGAGAGCTTTAAATCACAAAGACCCCAGGGGCACTGCACCCTTACCTTTAAATGTATTTTATTAATCTATTAACTATGTTGTTACCATGCTAAAATGTTTCATTTTTGTCCTGTAATCTTTCGATGTATGTGGTGCTAACAATAAATAATTTTTTATCTATCCATCTTTCTATGTTGCTACATTCTCAAGTCCTAAACGTACAATGGTATATATTTACCACCAAAAAGATGATGTTCCCGTTTTGTCAAAGAAATTAGCAATGGTAATGGGTTCTAGTAAATTACCAAGGAACCACTGCAATATTTTATAGATAGGGCGTTAAGATTCTGTATAATATACATACATTAGTAAGAACACGCCAACAGATATAAAAAAAAGCATCAAAATAGTATCGAGAAATTATATTCTAGCTGAAATATTTACACCATTCATTACAGCAGCGCAGTTCATACTAAGTATCATTATGAAGAGATAACTCACATCTAAGGCAATTCGTAAACATGAAAGTTACCTCTAGCAAAGCGCACATCTCGGTTTCAGCGTGTAATAAATCTCCGGGAGACGTTCGTTTCACTTGAGCTTCAAATGGATTATCTTGACCCTCGTTTGCTTCAGTTAATGCAACGTTGAATGCAGCTTCCAGTGAAAAATCGCCGTCGTCCAATATTAAGCCTGTTTATAACAATATCCGGTGTAATAAAAATACTGATCCAAGCATAAAGTTTTTTTACATTCCCGGGACACAATTTTGGTCTTTAGAATAAATTTCCGAGCGTTAGAAGGGCCAGTTGAAGTTTTTTTTTAATTGCTTAGAGCCTAAATAAAATTTAGAATTAATTTAAGAGTTTTCAAAATTGAAAATTTACAAATAAATCACGTGTTTGTAACATTTATTTGTTTGTTCCTTCATTTTGTCATTACACATTGTGTAATGTGCCAGACCATACCAGACAATGCAAGAATGTAACAATGATGGACATGAAAGTGAAAAAAAGGAAAAATATACAAAATATTGGAAATTACTATAATATCTAAATCGTATATTTATTTTTTCAAAACAAAAAACATTTCAAGGCTCTTTACGGGTCCCATGGTCATACTAAATATGCTTAAAACAGGAGTAAAACCAAATTCTACCTTAATACTAAGAAATGTCTAGTAAAAAGTTAAAAAAAACCGGATACTGCGCCCTGGGGCGTCGTACCTACGAAGCTGACAAAGTTTCCGCTTTGGATAACTAACCTTGATCTTTGGCGGAAGAAAAATTGTATTCATATTTTTTTACAAAATTAAGTAGGAAATTACTATGGGTAATAAATAGCACACACACAAAATAATCACGCCATGAAATAAAATAAATTTCATACGAACTCACCAATAGCCCTATTTGCGTTACAGTAAATCCAAAAATGTGTTAGAATAAGCCATTGCATCAATAAATATACTTTCGTTGACATCATTATTCCTTTTATCTAATCTACATTTCAATATTCACTAAACACTTTATTGTTAAACTCGTACAAGTAGAAGAGGCACTACTATACATTTGGTTAATTGTGTTTTCATTTGGACTACAATTGGGTACTGGTACCGATTATTCGCGCAATTATTATCGTTAGCATACTTTTGTCGCCGTCTCGACTCGTATTGGACAAGCCACAAATAACTCTCCCAATTTCATTAGCTGCATTCGGGTTGCATTTAGAATGCTCGCTTCGGATCATTACATTGTGCTCTCAACAATATATTGCATCATCGTTTCATGTATTTCACATAACTGGCACAATCAATTCATTACTTGTCTATTATATTTTATTAAGTAGTGATTTGTAATTTTACCTCAAACTATTCTATAGTTTTAAATGTGACAGTCAATGTATCAAAAGACTTCTATTTCATATTTCACAGCTTTAATACAACTCACGACATCTTTGGAATCAGTTTGAAACTAAGGGTTCCAAAACAAGATTGGTTCTTCACAAGGTTTCACTTTCACGTCTCGAGAAAATAGCTTTCGCGTGCTGTAAAACCTCCCACAGTTTCTTCAGCACATTTCTTTGTGATTCTACTAGATGGCGCTAATTGGCGTTTTTTAAAGAACTTTCCATTTACTACAGAACATTTTAATTACGTATGGTAATTAATAGTAAAATTAAGTAAAAAACTAGTAAAATATTTGAATTGATGTTTAATTTTAAGCCCTTTTTTCACATACTATTTCATTTATATAGGTAACAAAAACTGAAGTTAGTTAGCCAGTAAAAAAGCAAAACAAAACGTGTTAAACTCCAAGCGTTGGTCGGTAAGTCAATCTGCTCAGCTTCATTACAGTTTTTGCGATCTGTCGCGTCAGAAACATGAGTTCTGTAGCTTTCTATTTTCGCAACAGAATAATAATAATAATAATAAAATGTTTATTCAATAACTTATTGTCCAATGGAATAACTAAAGATTAATTATGCGTATCAACGTATAATAACACATATAACAAGTACTAATTATATAGGTGGATATATAATTAAGATATTAACAAAATATAATAACTAAACAATAAAATACAAATCATATACCTATACGCTAAAATTAGACAACATTTATTTTGGGATAATTAATAAATTATCTGTATCATCGTAGGACATGTTTTGAAGGAATTATTGTAGAATTTTCTTAACCTTTATGTAACAAAAATGATATAGGTATGGCCAATTTGGCGTTTAATTTATTGTACAAAAATGACCCAAGGACCACAAAAAATCTGGAAATAAACACATGTTTTTAACCGACTTCAAAAAAGGAGGAGGTTTTCAATTCGACTGTATGTTCTTTTTTTTGTATGTATCTTACGCGGTAACTCCGGTATTTGTGAATCGATTTTCATGATTATTTTTTTGTTGGAAAGGGGGTACTTCCGTAGTGGTCCCATTTCATCTTGAAGAAAGTCATCCACCTAGAAGGGTGGCTGTTTACGCATGAAGATTCATTTCTATAAATAGCGCCTAACTTTAATTTAGGAGCAATTACTTTAATGGTTGATTTTGCTATTTCTCCAATTCAAGGCGTTTTTCTCTCAATATACATTGAGTAGTGAGAACCGATTTTTATTATCTCCAGTGTTAAGTCCTGTATAGTGGCGAACTAGGCGATATTTCAACAAAACTTAGCAAATAGACTTTTGAGGTCGGTTTTTTTAGTACTCTGTACTGATTCATATACCATTTCACTTCACGAGCTACGGCAAAAACTCTCTGCTCACAGGACTAGTTACTGGTTACAATAAATAGTTCTATGAGGTTGATCCCTTTGTAGATAAAAAGCATTCTTTTCAGTCAAATATTAAAGAATTAATTTTCAAACGAGATGCGTAGGTTCATATATTTTATTATAACTATATTGTAATTATATTATAAATGAAAAGTTATTATGAAGCGATGTGATGTATCTCTGATGAGTTACCAGGAATTTATGGCCCTTATTCTTGTTCCATTAAATAAAGTTTACGTAATTTATTATTCTTTCCAAGCCGAACTTTATAACAATTTCACGTACCAATAATCTTTTGTATTCTTACGTAAGTAAATACTAAGTTTTGTGAGTATCCGCTCACGCGTCTCTGGAAGCATACCACACCTAGAGGTGCCGGTGATGATTTTATACCGATTTATCGGATATCGAATTTATAACAGGTAAAAGAACTAATACTAATTGCTATTTCGGTAACTACTCTAGCAAACCATAAAGGTTTTAATGTCTGGATCTGTCACTTAAAAATAATAAACAACTTCAAAAATACGTCACGACAATCGTGTGTCATTGTTTGGGCTGGTGATTTCGGTGTTTATTTATTGAAAACATACCGTAAGTTGCGTTTTTTAAGTTTACCCTGAATATAAATGTTTATAAAGTATACTTTAAGTAGTAATTTCATGGTAAACAGAACCACTCAAACGGAATATTATCATATTTACCCAAGTACACAAAAATTTCGTTAGTGCTTTGAAGTGCAGGATTTGCGGTGTATTACTGCATTTTATTTGAGATGTTTTTGTTGTAGTACGGAGGGTATTTATTTAGCAATGCAGAATAATAATTTTTATTTTTTAAAACTTGTATTTAAACTGAATCCTTTTCTAATTTGCGAAAACAAATAGTCGCCATTTTGCGGTAGGATGAGCGCATCGCGTGAGCGGATATACTTAGTAAATAAAAAAATTCACCATAGCCCTGATACGCTACATGTAGCGGTAGATACAAACTTTTGGCATGAAACTACAGTATAAAACTCAATTTCGATAGTAAATAATTCAATCGCGAATGCTTCCCGCTTGGTTGGAATATAAGCCGAGATCGATTTATGTCTATAACCGGGGTGTCGTACATTTTAATCTTGTTTTTTCTTCTCTAATACCATTTCCGCCTACCTTTTAACTTTGTTTGAGAGTTACACACAGGACCAAATAAATTGTTTTAGTATATTATTGTTGTAGGTATTTTTTAATATGTAAGACATATGTTGTTTTCATATTTTACTTGAATACATTTTTAACCGACTGCAAAAAAGGAGGAGATTCTCAATGCGACTGTATGTTTCTTTGTTTTTTTTTGTATGTTACACGATAACTCCGGTATTTGTAAATCGATTTTCATGATTCTCTTTTTGTTAAAAAGGGGGTACTTCCATAGTGGTCCCATTTCATTTTGAAGGAAATCATCCACCTCTAAGAGTGGCTGTTCACGCATGAAGTTTCATTTTTATAAATAGCGTCTAAATTTTCTTAAGGAGCAATTATTTTTATGGTTGATTTTGCTATTTCTCCAATTCAAGACGTTTTTCTCTCGATATTCTTTGAGTAGTGAGAGCCGATTTTTATTATCTCCAGTGCCAAGTCCTGTGTAGTGGCGAATTTAAGGATATTTCAATAAAACTTAGCAAGTAAATGTAATTCCACGTACTTTTAAGGTCGGTTTTTTTAGTAGTCTGTACTGAGATTATTATAAATAGCGTTTAAATTTTATTATAAGGAGCAATTATTTTAATGGTTGATTTTGATATTCTCTAATTCAAGGCGTTTTTCTCTCAAAATACTTTGAGTAGTCAGAACCGATTATTATTATCTCCAGTGTCAAGTCCTGTATAGTGGCGAACTAGGGGATATTTCAATAAAACTTAGCAAATAGACGTAATTTCACGTACTTTTGAGTTCGGTTTTTTTAGTACTCTGTACTGAGATTATGATGATACAATTTTGGGGCAGACAATATCTTTCCGTCTTTTGTTAGTGTTTTCAGTACTATATACAACGTGCTGTTTGAGAACTGTGGATTTAATAAATAATTACCTTACAGTTAGTACCTTACACAACTTATACAGAAGGTCAGTGGGATAAAGGAATGGGCGGAAGGTAGAAGAAACCTTTAGAACCGCTCTCTCAATGATTAGTAATGAAGTTTTAGCAATACTACCCAAGATGAAATCCAATATGTGATAATTGATCGACATATGGCATATTAAACTTGCCTGATTATTTTAAAATCAGCAAAAGCTCGTAGTTTTTTAAACACACACATTAGCTTGCGGATACGACCGCTTAGTGCTGCGATATGGGCTTAAAAGAGAGGTTATCATCTATTATAACACCTTAATACTTTACCTTGTTAGTAATAGCAATGTCTGGACACTTACACAGGTTGTTAGTAGTCTCCATACAATGGTGAGCATATAGTTTTGTGCTAAGTAGCCAGTTATTTACGACATTGAATACTCGCTGAGCATATTCATACACTTCCTTATCAGAGTTATCAGAAAAAAGCAGAGCAATATTATCAGCATAGGATGTGATCTTTCCACTTTCTAATTCTAGATTACAAAGGGCATTAATGTAGATCAGAAACAGAGTGGGGCCTAAAATACTTCCTTGGGGAATTCCGAATGCAGTACTCTTGGGATCAGGACTGAAAACGTCACCTATTTTGACATATTGGGAGCTGTTCTCCAGATAATCTAATTAGTAGTATACCTCTTATACCTAAGGATTCAAGCTTCTGCAATAGGATGGCTATATAAACTGTATCAAAAGTTTTCGCGAGGTCCAGAAATATCCTCACTGTGTTGTTACCCTTGTCAAGTTCCCTTGCTAAAAATCCGTAAGGTGATGCAAAGCGTCAGATGTCGATAATTTGGATCCAAAACCGAACTGTGTTTTAGATAATAAGGATTGTTTCTCCAAATACAATACAAGTCCATTATATATAAGTTTTTCTAATATTTTAGACATTGCTGGCAGTAACGAAATAGGTCTATAATTCGTTATCGGACTTTTGTTACCAGATTTATGTAGAAAGTCTATTTTTTGTGTCGAAAATCCGTTTTCTTATCAAAAACATTTATTGCTCGGGTGAAATGAAGTAGAGTTGCAGGAGTATAGAAGTTTTTTTATGATGCTAAGTGACGGGAAGAACAAGCAATGCATGTGGTGGTAAGCGACACGCCTGTCCATATAAGTTACAGTACCACTCAGAGCTTTAAAACGCAAA